GAGGATTTTGAGGTGCTTTTCCAGGAACCCCTCCAACAGCGGTGCCTCTTCAGTGGCGACATCTCCGGCATGCCCGGTGCCACCGTGGCCATCAGCAACTGCGATGGACTGGTAAGCTTGAGGCCGGCAGGGCGGTTGGTGCGCGCTGAATGTGTCTTAGGGAGGTTTTCTCTTAAGACGTGGATTGCGGTGTCCTGAAACGTGATTTTTTGGTGATGAGTTAGTTGTCTGCACTGCACATCGCCTGTTAGCAGCTGGCTGCTGCGGGCTCACTTTCCCCACGTGGCTTGTGGCGTAAGCAGGGCAGGGCACTATGCGTGCGAGTGCTCCGACCCGCCAATATATGTGCAGCGGTGCAGCTGTAGTTATTTAAAGGGGCTGAAAAACTTGCCCTCCCCGTGGCCGGGCTGCCTCCTGCCCGGAGGCGGCCCGTGTCAGATGCTGTTATGCCCATGGGCTCTGCCCTGCCTCCTGGACGGGTACCTGCGCTGCCAGTGATGCTGCTGCATCCTCGCTCACCCGCGTTTCACCTTGCGACTGCTTCAGGAAACTTTTTCTCTGCATTTCCCCATCTTGGTTGAGGCTGACTGAGCTCGAGCTTCTCCTGAAATCACTGTTAGCATGCGGTCTTACTGCCGCTGAGCATTTTTTGGGGGGAAGACTTTTTTTTTTCTAGTAGCTGACATGCTAGGAGCCTTTTGGCTTTTTGAGTGTGTGGTGAGCACAGTTCAGCATCAGTAACTTGCTGCCACAGCGCTTTAATTAGTTTAAATGGCTCTGTTACCTCCTTAGCCCTGGCGTCTGGTCTGCCTGTGGGTTTCCTACCTTTGATACTCTTGAGGAATTGCTTCTTATTTTTTTTATACCATTGGCCCATTGCCCTTCAAATTTCCTGTGAGCCAATTTAATTCCTGGGCCAGTGTTTGCTGTTTTCTCCTGGTACCACTTAGGTTACTCTGGGGTTGGAGTAAATGTCTTATTTTGCCTTTTTTTTTTTTTTTTTTTTTTTTTTTTTTTGGGGTTTTTTTAAAAAAGCCAGTAGGCTCAGCTGCAAAGCATAAGTTCTCCCTGGTTTGGCATTCCTTTCTTTTTATGTAGCGCCTGGTGTTACTATACGAGCAGAAATAATAGAGCAGCACAGCTAGAAATAGATATTTCGCCTACATAGTAGGGTGTGTTTTTTTTTTGCCAGCAATTTTAGCACATAATCCACAGCTCTTGAAGCATCTTTTTTGGAATTGGGTGAAACTGTGAATTTGCAGTAATTTCTCCGTGACATGGATCACTCTGGGGCTGGCGAATCTGGGCAGGCTTGAAAGCTTTAAAGATATTTCTGATGACTCCAGCAAGCAGCTAGTAGTGCCACGTCTGGAATGAAAACCTGTTTTTTAAGTGTGCAGGTTTTATCGCGGATATGATACACACTGGCATCGTGAGCGAAGGGAGGCTGGAAGCCGTCACCAGCTGAGTCCGTGTCCCACCGCAGCCAGGAAGCAGCGAGGATGATATTAGGGGGTTTCTCTTCCCCAGAGCCCACTCTGTTGTTAAAGTCCGTCTCATGTAGGCTTTAGTTAAACTTTTCCAGGCTCTTCTAGGCTTTAGCTCCAAGTGCTCCCATCTCAGCCCTTTGCACACCTTCTCGGGCGGGGGTTGTCGTTACTATTTTTACCCTTGTGCCAGCCGCCCCTTGGCCACAGGCAGTAGCAGCAGTGCCGGTTTAGGATGTAGCTTGTACGGCAGGATGCTTTTGCATGTGGACTTACGCAGCCGTGCCTGGCTTGCCATGCACGGACCCCCAAGCCCAGGCTTTTAAACTCACGTAAAGAAGAAGTGGCTCCTCCCCGAGGATCAGCAGCTCAGGGCCAGGGCGCTTGCTTCATCCCTCTTCACCTTCATTAACCCCCGATGCAGGCGGCTCTGCGGGGGCTTTGCTGCTGCTGTGCGGGGTGGGGTTAGCCGAGCTGCGTTGTGCTGATGCACGGGGCTTCGGTGGTTTACAAATGCCAGGGGCTTCTGCCGGGCGGCTTTGGTGCTTCCCTGTTTCCAAGGCTATCCTGGGACACGGTGTTAGCATTGTGGTTGCTGATGCGGTGTCTCGCAGATGTTTTATTTCTTCGTGTAGAGCTCCAGCAGCACTGGGGAAGAGGAGAAAAATGCTGTTTTTTTTTTTTCTTCTTGCGTTGTGTTTATTGATCCATGGCCAGCAAATAAATGCCCTGGCCTCGAGCAGCAATTTCCCATCATCCGGCGAAGCACATATGGTGGTTGCAGGCTGGGATAAGAGGTCAGGAGGACAGAGCCCGAGCAGGGGCTCTGCTCCTCCCCTGGTAAAGAGGGTTTTGTGATACGGCCAACGTAGCAGTTGGTTTTTCTCTTTCATGGCTTTTTCTATCCAGTGTATATTGCTGTATGGTCCCCTGGCTTAAGTTAGTCTGACAGCTTATATCCGCTCAGGATCCGTCCCCTATGGAGGAGCTGTGAGTCCAAGAGGACCTTAAAAAAGCGGTAAAAAGAGCTTGGTTTAGCAGATGGAGCAAGAAACAGAACCAAAATGTGGCGATAGGTGTGGGCGGGAGGATGGTGTGTATGACCACTCTGTGCCTCTCGCATGACCCGACGGAGAAGCAGCAGAGCATCTGGGAGGGCTGTACGCAGTCAGGACTGCTGCTAACGTCTGCTAGCTAGGGTCTAACCTAATGAGGGGAGCACCCAAACGTAGCTGTGTTGCTCTTTGATATGCACGTAGCCTGGAATTGCTGTGGACTTTTGCTGGAAGTTGTCCACGAGCTTGAAAAGGGGCTTGCAGCTTTTGCATCCCAGTATAGCGTGTGAGGGAGGCGCGGGACTGCACTTGGCTGCTTGTTTCTGGTCAGAGGAAGCATCCTGGGATGCTGCGGATGAAGTCTGTGTACACAAAGAGATTACGCTGTGTATAAACTGAGACTGAGATTATAAATAATGAGGGAAAAAAAACCCCAGTTCTTGAAAAAGAGAGTACACATTGAGTCTTTCCTAAATCCATATTTAGCCATGGAAGTGAGCTGATTTTTTTCACAGATGCCAAACCCATGGCACCTTCCATGGCTCTTATTTGCTGCAGGCATCCATGCATGGAAATCTGGCCTTCCTCGCACCAGGGTGGGAAGATGCTGTCGTCCATAACAGAATTTCAAAGCTGATCCAAGCCACCAAATTCCTAACTAGTAAAGTAGCATTAGTCAGAAATCTCTCCCGGCAGACACATCTTGCTGCAGCAAAGGCATCCCATCTTTCCACGCCGGCTTTAGCAGCATGTGGTTGACCTTGCTGTCTTTATGCTTTGCTGGTTGCCGAGATGGGTGAAGAATTATCCTCCGTAGGCACCGTATTTGCTTTTCGTGGCTGACTTTTCCCCGTCGCTCTCTGGGCTTATTTGCACCAAACGCCAATGTGCTGCAAACTGTAGAGCCAGCGTTTTCTGTCCATGTTGCCCTGACCTGCTTCGGATGGGTGCAGCAGATAAGCAGAGCATAAAGCCCTCAGGGGCAGTAATTAACAGGGAAAGAAGGGAGAATCAGTCCCCATAATGATGCCCCTGCACAAAAAGTAGAAGACTTTGTCTTCCAGGATTTTACCTGCAGCTCCTGAGCTGTAGGATTAATTTTGGGAAGAAAAAAGGTGCAGGTTTAAATGCCCAGAGGGTGAGATGTCCCTTTGGTTGCATAGATCCCATTGTCCTCAGCTGGTTTGTTTTTCACATGGATATGAGGGCTTTTCTCCCCTATGATAATCCTAATTTTTGGCATCGAGATGAGAACGAGGTCCTGTTTGGGCTGAAAACCTAATTAATTAGCACTGAGCATGTCTCCATGCCCTCGCCCCACCAGGAGCTACATTTGAATCCTGGCTTGGGTCACCTGGCAAGGCCCAGGTGGAGCAGTTCCCTGCCTGTGGACATCCCCCAAACCTCTTGCCTTGGCGCAAAGAGCAGGGAAAAGCAGTCAAGGAGTAAATAGCGTTGTGTTAGATGGATTGCAAAGCCTGTGCTGCGGACAGAGAGGTACCAAAACAGTGACCGAGCAGCTCTGGGCCATGCCCTGGCTGCTGCCAGGTGTGGTCCAGCTCCGCGCAGGGCAGATGCATCCTTCTGCAGATCCCCCGATGCCTTCGCTGGGCAGTCTCTGGATGAAAGGGGAGCGGTGGCTAGCGACAGTGCCTGCGTTCACACAGCCCGGCTTTCTGGGACTTTTTGTCCAAATTAAGTGTGAATCGTGTAGGAAAAATACATACTGTGCACGCAGCTGGATTTCCCCCTCCTCGGCGCTGTTTGCTTCGCTGGCTGAGTGGAGCGGCTTTATTAATTTTTCCACATTTCAGCTGCGTTGAAGTGTCAGAATTTCCTGAATTCCTGTGGGAGTTGGAGCTTTTTACTCAGGGGTGATGGAGCAGTCACTTACCCGGGGTGCTGGGAGGAGGGGGCGGTCCCACTTAGCGAGGCTGGTGTCAGACCAGTGGGGCCAGTTCATCTCTCCCATAGCCTGGGGAGATACGGGAGAGCTGGGAAAGAGACTTCACTCTCTGCAAGCTGGCAGAAGTGAGTTTGGTGTTTTCCTTAAAAGAAAAAAAGAAGTGTATTTTCCCCTCTTTCCAGTGGAGTGGTCTTCAAAGGGCCATTTTCTAGTTTGGGAATTACCTTCACCAAGAGCTGCAGACAGCATCTGATGTTAGAAATATTGATAATGATAGTCCCACCTTGCCAGACTTAATTTTATTTGGTACTATTAAACCAAATAAAATTGGGGGTGGGAAGCAGATGTCAAATTGATTGTTGAGGATGGGATCAATCTCTTGGCAAGAGCCCCGGGAAAGCTTACTTGGTCTTTCTGGATGGCGTCTGGCCTCTTTTGCTGCCTCCCTACAGTTATAATCTTCCCAAAATGCTGAAATATATAACGCGAGCTGTTCCTTTTTAAGACTGAGCAGGTTCATGCATGCCTCTTGCAATGGTTTTTGTGGGTTGCTTTTTTATTTTTGCAAATGCCAAGGTGCCTGCCGTGGTTTCTCTTTCATTTGTTAGGCTGCTCTGATCAGATGTGCACACAAGTCCTAGCGGTATTGACTTTGCCAGTGGGATGTGGCTGGAGTCAATAGCGTGTTGCATCGCGCTTTGAGAGAAAGCACAGAAGAGAAATCTGGGCTGCTTTATTTCTTGAGCCATGTATAATTAATCACGAGCTGTAGAGCAGCGCAAACCCAAGTGGGCTGTGGCTCGGGACCAGTCTCTTTCATATTTTAATCCAGCCTTGCCCTGGCACAGCGGTGCTGCTTTCCTCCAGCTGCCTGACTCAGCAAGTCCCAGCTTTCACCGCAAACCCATAAACCGGCTTTGGGGTGCCTCGTCCTGGGTGAAACATCCCATGGCACAGCTGAGAGGGGGTAGCGGTGTCCCTGCAGACCTTCTCCTGGGGTGGGGGTTGCTTCTGCTGCCATTGGGATAAACTAGGATGCTGGCAGGGGTACTGTGCTGGGCGCTTTTGGGTAGCAGGAGTGCCATTCCAGCCCAAATTGGAAGCACGTTAGTTGGTGGGAAATCATCAGCGTAAGTCACGCGTATAAAATCCAAGCGTGTTTGTGGTGCCTGTGTCAGATGTCCAGCGCTCTGCGCTTCGTAGCTACTCATTTTTGCATTAAGCAATGGATGCCCACCTCCTCTTATCATATAATAAAGAACAGTGGCTTGGACCTGCCCCATCATCATGGACTTGCCTAACTGTCAATGGACAGTTGTCACCTGTGGGTTGACTCCCTAACTTGGTCTCTGCCTCATCCCCACCACCTTGCCTGGTGCTCCAGACTCTTGGCTGAACCTGGCTGTGATCTTCGTCTCCTTGGCTGGGTGTGGTGGGACAAGCCCTGGCTGGAGAGGTCCTGCCCTGGTGACCTGAATGTCTCCTACGGGAAGGACCTGAGATACGTGTGTCAGGCAAGTTGATCCTAGCATGACTGCCCATACTTAGATTCCTCGGGAAGGAGGTAAAACAAAACCAGCCAAAAACCTGCTTTCCAGAGGAGTTAGGCAGCTAATAAAACCCAAGTGGAGCAGGAAATTTGATGAAGTCTAACAGAGCCAGGTTGGCTGATGCCACGATGAATGCAACTGTACGTGAATGCGAAAGGGATCCAATGACCCAGGCGGGCTTGGAAGAGCCCCAGCTTTGCCTGGCTGCTTACAGAGCCCAGCTCACATCTTTGTATAGCTCTCTGCAAAAAAAAAACACCAACCTTATCTTTTTTTGTTTTATTTGATGAAAACAGTTCCAATACCCCAGCCCTGATGAGGACTCCAGTAGGTACATGCTGTGAAAGGCTCTGCTGTAGGAACGGATCCATATGTTCTGCCTGTGCTTTCTGGGCAGCTATTCAACAGCAGGCAGTAGCGGGCAGCGTCGGAGGAAGGAGCGTGCGCGTGCGCGGTGGAGGGAGCTGTGAAAAATGCTGGGCTGGGGGATGGAAGCCAAATCCTGGCGATCCTTTTGCTTGCCTGAGGTCCGAGCTGGCTGGCGCTGCAGGGTACGAGCGCTCAGGGAGATTTGGTGGGAGCTTGGTGTTAATTAGGAGCAGGTTGGTAGCCAGGACAACACTTCAGCAATGTTTGCCCTCTCATTCATCTTCCGCTTCTTTGGGAGGTGGAGTTGTAACACTTCCCAGCTTCTCCTCTGAAGGGATTCCCCGGCGTTAATTTCCAAGCACTTCACAGGGCAGAAACGATAGTTTCTTTTTCCTTCCTTCTTGCTATGACTGCAGTTAGTAGTGTCGGTGAACGGCTGATTGCCTGCTCAGCACGGTGGGGATGGGGATGAGGAAGAAGATGGGGATGGGGAAGGTGCAGGGAGGCGAGGTGGCGTGGGAGCCCGTGCAGCCTGTGTCCCCTGATGTGCAGGGTTAGGCAGAAAAGCTCGTCGCTGGTGAGAAGGAGCAGAGTTTCCTAGCCATATGAAGACATAACTTGAATCGTGGCCAGTTGGTTGGGTGGTTAGTTTTTTTTTTCCCCTCCTTTTTCATTTTTTTTTCTGTCTACAGGAGAGATTAAGGGTCATCATACATGAACATGGTAATGGATCCATCCCAGCATCACGGAGTAGCAACAAGACACCTGGTTTATTTGGGAAACTTTTTCCCTTTGCATTCATGCGTGCTCTGCATCAATCTTTAATGAGTATATTGAGTGTGTATGTACATGTCTGCATATATAAAAACACATCTTTTTTTCCTTTTTCTTTGTTTCATTGTGGAGTCCAGGCTGGCCTGATTCGGACAGACAGCAACGAGTTCTTCATCGAGCCCCTGGAGAGGGGGCAGCAGGAGACGGAGGAGCACGGGAGGGCGCACGTGGTGTACCGCCGATCGGCCATCCGGCAGGATGGTGCCCAGCCCCACCAGGACCTCCACCCTGAAGGTGGGGACTGCTGGAATCTGGTCTTTCCCAGCAATTGATAGTAACTGTTTCCTGTGGGGGGGAGAATTTCTCCTTCCACTTGCTCTCTGGGTCGTAAGTCTAGCCCTATGGCTTTAGGCTGGCTTTAACTGCCAGTTGGGTTGTCAGTGAGAAGAAGGAAAGAGAATGCTGGGGTTTTGCTGGGAACTGTGAAATTCTTCCAAATTTGGTTAAAGTTGGATGAGTTATGTACAAGTTATTCTTCCTCTTCAAAGAGGAAGAATCTCCTAGATGGGTGTGATCAGGCCCATGGATGATCATGTTGGCCTTGGGATGGGAAGCAGAGTCAGGATTTGTGAGTGAAGGGGTCAGGAGGAGCTGGACTTGGTCCGACTTGGCCTCTGACTGTGACTTGGAGATGCAGGTGCTGCAGTCTTGTTTTAATCACTTACGTGTTGTAAAATGTGGTGTTGATTTGACTTTTTAACAGATGATAGAAGCCCTTCCTTTTCTCAGTGTTCATGATTCATGTCACTTTTCTAGTGCATTGCCCTTTTTTTTTCTTCTTCTTTGCCTTGAGGCAGAAAAAATGGCTTTTTTCTTAAAGCATTGCTTAACTGTGCTCTGCACTCTGCATGCATAAATCGCCTGCTGACTTCCCCTCTCACCTGCATAAAGCCAAGTGCTCCCAGAAGTGTTTACAAGCGTGGGGTCACCGTTTTGCAGAGCACTCTATAAACCTGTTTGTATTTATGCAGAGGCGTTAGCCTTCCCCGGTGTTTATTCACCTCTTGTGGCACTGTAATCAGCTCCCTGATTTTTAAAAAAAGTTTAAAAGTTTTCCAGGGTGTACTCCTTGCTTTGGTGGCATTGCTAATGGAATTGCAGTTGAGAGCTTCAAAGGCACTGCTGGGTGATGGTGATGGGATGAAGGATGCGATGAAGCGAGAAGGATGCTGTGAAGGATGGAGGATGCTCTGGCTGCAGCTGCCTGCTCTCAAGGAGCAGCCCCCAGCTTCGCATGCGTCCTCGGCTATCCACCACCTCCCCAGGTTTCCCACCAACACCCAATGGACAGTGTTGGACCATCATGATATAGATGGGTCTTTTGGTGCTGGTGCTCCCAATTCAGAGCCATTTCCCCACTGCAGAACAAGCTGGATCAGCGGCCTGGTTAAATATCCTATTTATTTTTCCTGTTTAATTTATGTTTTTTTGGAGTGTCACCATGGTGTCAGGTCACTTCAATGGCTGTTTCTTTGTCTGCCCCCCATGCCTTGCTCAGCACCCGACGTGCGGGTGGGTGATCTCCCCAACTCCCTGGAGCTGATGACGCAGCGGCTGGGGGATGCAGAGCGCAAGAGACGCCATGCCAGGAAGGACGACTACAACATCGAGGTCTTGCTGGCGGTGGATGACTCAGTCGTACGCTTCCACGGGAAGGAGCACGTCCAGAACTACGTCCTCACCCTCATGAACATAGTAAGGCTTGGCTTTGCGGGGCCTGTGGCTCCTATGTCTTCCTTGGTTTTCTGCTCTT